AAAAAAAAAATCTTTCTCCTTCATTCTGTACTGCAGGAAGAAGTGTGAGGAATAACACACCCTTCGACCAGACCCCCCGAACTGCAGCTCTCTGCCGGTGATACAGTTCTTCCGTTTCTCACCTCGAGGACAGGGTTCTAGGTTGCCCTTCTGTGAGCTCCTGAGTGGACCACTCCTTTGCTGGATTTGGCATCCCTGGCCTCAGAGAAGGAGCCACCCCATGAAGGATGAATGGGGCAGAAGCTAGGGGCTCCATGTACTAGCCTGCTAGGGCTGCCATAACAAAGTGCCACAGATTGGGTGGCTAAAACCACAGACATGGATGTTCTCACAGTTCTGGAAGCTAGCTGTCCAGGTCGAGGTGCCCACGGGATTGGGTTCTCCTGAGGTCTCTCTCCTGGGCTTGCAGAGAGTTACAGTCTCGCTGCCTCTCCACAGGGTTGATGCTCTGTGTGCCTGCTCTGATGTTCAAATTTCCCCTTCTGAGATTTTATGTATGTATGTATGTATGTATGTATGTATGTATGTATGTATTTGAGAGAGGAAGAGAGAGTGAGTGAGAGGCAGAGAGAACCTCAAGCAGACTCCGCGCTGAGCACAGAGCCTGACGCGGGGCTCGATCTCACAACCCTGACATCACGACCGGAGCCGAAACCAAGAGTCGGACGCTCAACTGACTGAGTCACCCAGGCGTCCCTCCAATTTCCTCTTCTTATAAGGACCCCAGTCATATTCAACTAGGACCCACTCTCACAGCTTCATTTTGACTTAATCACTTCTTTTCAGGGCCCATCTCCAAATACAGTTACATTCTGAGGTACTGGAGGCTAGGGCCCCTACACACGTTCTTTGGAGGGACACAATTCAGCCCATCACGCTCTATTTTCCCTTACTTTTGGTTCTGGGAAAGTGTGTCTCCTTTCCCTAATGTACAGTGTAGCCAGGAGGTCCCTGTGGGACTTTCGGGGCTCAGGGTGGTGGCAGCATGCGCTGTCCAAGTGGACCACCCAAGTTCAAGGTTGTTGCTGTGTTGCTTGTTCTTGACTGGTGATGCTTGGAAGTAAGTGAACAACTGGATGCCCTTCAGCTCCTGTTGGATTCTTCTTTAGCCTGTCGAGATACTTCGCCTGCTCCTTCCTGCTTTCTTATTTCCAACCCTACTACTTAGAATCCCTTGGAGTATACGATCCAAATCTGGAGGCGAAGCCCCTTCCATCTCAGGACTGTGGCCTGTCTCTTGTGGATGGAACAGTGTAGGGTGGGGAGGGTGGTAGAAGTAGGGAGAAGGCAGGCCGGCCACCTTGCAGAGTCAGGGGTGAGCTGGCAGTGGCTTATGGGTTAACTTCGGACTGTTCCTTTGGCTCCCCAGCACTAGGACATCTGACCCTGGCCTCTAAGCAGATTCGTTTTCTGGATTTGAATGGTTTCATCACCACGTCAGGTCATTTGCAGCTGGACCTGGTGGGTGGCATCCAAGAAGACAAAGACGAGACCTCAGAGCTCTGGCAGAAATGTTGAAAGGAAACAGAGGGTGTATCAGGTGTCCAGGTTGGGTCATTAGAACAAAGAGAGGGTCTTTCCACACGGGGCTAGGAGGAGCATTTGCTAAGCCAGCTCTGGTCGGTTAGAGCATCCCTTATCTCTGGCTTCCTGTTTTGGGGGTTTCCGGGGACACTTCCAATCACAACGATTCAGGCTCTGATGGCTCTAAGGAGGCCACATTTTGTTTTCCAGTTGCAAAATATAAACTTTAAAAAACCCGATGATTACGAGCTAAAACTTTCAGTCGAATCAGTAATAGCTACCTTTGGTTGCCTCGCTCCTCTTTGTCAGGAATTTTCCATCCATTATGTCCCTTCAGCATCTCCAGCAGTCCTGTTGAGACACTGTTCTCCCACCAAAGTAGCTAAGGGCTTGCAGACACTTCACACCGGAACTCTGGCTCATGGGAAGTCAGAGCCGAGTGGCAATGTTTATGAAAGACCCTCCCCAGACTAAGCTGGGACCCCATGGGCGGCATCTCTCATGAAAATAGTCCACGAGATGGTGATAAAAAGCTATTTTTAGACAAACAAAAACTAAGAGAGTTTGTCACTGGCAGACTGCACTAATGGAAATTCTAAAGGATGTACTTCGGGAGGAAAATTGTCTTAGAAGAAGGAGATGCAGGACGGAATGAAGAGCAAGGAAAGTAATAGTACGTGGGCAATACAACTGAACATTGATGGAAGAAGGAATCATAGAAACGTCCGTTCTGTTTTTTTAAAAAATAAAGTACTTTACAATATGAAGAGACGTCAGGAGCGACATAAGTGGAGCTCAAGTTTTCTAAGAACCTCATTTCATATTGGAAGTGATTTAGGTACTTATTAAATCTAGACTTTTATCAAAGGTAATAATGTATGTAGGAAGTAATAGGATGTAATTATTAAAATAATAGCAAGAAAATGTAAATCTTCAAACCAGGAGACAGGGGAAAATCATTTAAAATTTTAAAATTTCTCAATTCTTTTTAAGTCAAGAAAGAAGAGGCAAAAGAAGCACAGGCAGGGGGCGCCTGGGTGGCTCAGTCCTTAAGCGTCTGCCTTCAGCTCAGGTCATGATCCCGGGGTCCTGGGATCGAGCCCCGCATCGGGCTCCCTGCTCCGCGGGAAGCCTGCTTCTCCCTCTCCCACTCCCCCTGCTTGTGTTCCCTCTCTCACTGTTTCTCTCTCTGTCAAATAAATACATAAAATCTTAAAAAAAAAAAAAAAGAAGCATAGGCAGAACCAATACAAGCACAAAATAAAATGGTAGCTTGGGGAAAAAAGGGGTAGCTTGAAACCCCAATCTATCAATAATTTTATTAAATGTTTATGAGCTAAATGTTCAAGTATTGTCAAATAGGATTATCAAATACATCCATATGCTGTTTAGGATAGACAAATCCAGGGCGCCTGGGGGGCTCAGTCGGTGAAGCCTCTAGCTCTTGGTTTCAGCTCAGGTCATGATCTTGGGGTCGTGAGATCGAGCCCCGTGTCAGGCTCCATGCTCAGCGGGGAGTCTGCTAGATATTCTCTCTCCCTCTCCCTCTGCCCCTGCTCACACAAGCTCTCCTCTCTCTCCCTCTCTAAAA